TTTTAAAATTTTTTTTTTACATTTTTTTTTCCTGGAGATTACATATAATTCCTTGCAATGTAACATTTCATGGTGGGGAACAGCTCCTGTGAAGAGGGTGCTCTGAGCCTTTCCCAGAGTGGGGTGAGCTTCCCACAAAGTTCATGGGAAGCARTCAAACACAGAGCTTCTCACTGAGACAGAAGGAAATAAATGGGAGAGATGGGAATTTTTTTAGCTTCTGCCCTACTGCTGGGAACCTGAAAATCTGATTGATCAGGGCAGTTRTTCTTTTCTGTTAAGATCAGTGGGAGCAATTCCCTTTTCCACAAATTTCAGGCAGCCAAACACCGTAGTTACAGCTTGTGGTACCTGTATTAGTGACAAGTTTGTTTTATTATAAATAAATAACTTTTTTTTTTGCTTTGTTTGCTCAAATTAAGGTGCAAATGGGTAAATGCTTCTCCCTCCCATCTGTCTTTATGTTTCAGAGAGCAACTAACTTCATATAATTTTTTATTGTTAGTCTATAGATGTGCTTTCCTCTTACGAGGAATATTTCGAGCTGTTTGATGCTGACTATGAATTTTAAGCGCAGAAAAGAAACCCATAAAAATTAATAAACCACCCTCTGGAACTTTTTCCTGGGATTTTTGGAGCAGGATGCTAATAGCTACTTCATGATAAATGCTGCTCAAGAGAGGCAATCAGAAGGTGAGGTAATAAATCACAAGAGCAGCTGAGATGCTGCTGGCATCACCTCCAGCAGCAGTCCCAGGGAGCTGCTTTCTCCCCAGATCCTCCCTCTGTTCAAAGGCAAACCAGACCTTGTTTGTTTGTTCTTCTCATCAGCATTGGCGGAATTTTGCTTTGGATCCATCTCGACAAGAATGGAAGCAAAACTGTTTTGTTGTTTTTTTTTTTTCTTTTTTGAGGAAATTTTATTTCAGCTTGGTAGCCCATAAGTATAAATGGCTGTTACCTTGCATCAAATGAAGCCATTAGCATGTCTKCTGGCAGTGACTCAATTCTGATTAATTCCTGGTGCTCTCCAGGTGGTAAAGTCAGAGTTACTGGGAACAATTTTTGTGATCAGTAGAGCTGAACTGTTTTTCCCTGGAAACTGGGATTTTGGTGATCTACATGGTTTGTTTTTTTTCTCTTTTCTTGTGGTTTCCGAGCCAGATACGGGTTAAATTTTCATCTAAATTATTAGCTGAGCTCATCCCCACTCTGCAGTCAGATATAATGGTGAGTTCTCTAAAAAAAAAAAAACCCAAACCAAAAACCTGAGGTAGATAAGAGGCATCAGCTGCAGACAGTGGAGAAGCTATGAGCTAACACTTGCTGGGATATCTCCATAGGCTTCCAGTCACAGCAACCACCTGGTTGCTTCCAACCTTTCCTTGCTCTTGGCAAGCCTAACCGTTCAACTTGATGTGATGTTTTGTGCCTGCTTGTTTTATTGTTGGTTAACCAGTTTTCTTTCCTTTATCTTATATATGATGGGATCTCCGCTAGACTGAGGTAACGGTGGGGGACAGTTGTGTAGCTGGACCCTCGTGTGGTGGTGTTTGTCGGTGGTTTTTTCCTAAAACCGTTCCTAAATCCAGCCTTGCTTTCACCATGCCTGTGTGCTTGCATGGCCTGGTTTCCATGGAATAACCTCACCCACCCCTACTCTCCTTYGTATTAATTTAATTCTCTGTGTGTGCGTGTGCCTCCTCCTTTTGTGTCCTTAAAGTGGGTCACCAGTGTGGATTCCCTAACAGTTTTATGGATCCTTTTCAGCCTTTGAGGGTTCTGCGGATCAAAGGGACTCGGATTTTTAGCTTGGTAAGATATTGTGAGCTGATAAATGGAAAGGCACTGGAGCAAGAGGGAGACTSAGTTTGGTTTCAGTTTTGATAATTTTGATCAGACTTTACATTCATGTCAAATAGTCCTTTCCTGGCTGTTTCTAATCAGAATCTAACTTAAAAACTGTCAGTCAAATACAGTAGTTTCCTTTTTGAATCCTACATTAAAATCTGATTTTTTACCACTAATCTCAAAGATTTTAAGCAAAATGGCTATAGTTTAGCAGTTTTATAGTTTTTTTAAGTAAAATGGCTATATCTGTATTCCAGCTGGGCTGAACCAACAAACAAATCCCATGCAATTCCTCATCCCTCATTTGCAATGGGGAAGCACTGATCTTCTCAGAACTTTTCTGACCAGTTTCAAAGGCTGGAAAAGGTCCCCTGGATATGGATGGAGGTAGTAGGGGTGTGTGTGTGTGTCCATGGAATGGCTTGTTGGTGRTAAGGACACAGACAAAGCCTTGCATTTATTTCTCTGTTTAAYCTGTTGCTTTCTCTTCTCTCCCTGGTCGCGGCTCGGGTGGATGAACAGAAGTTATCCCAGGAGAGAGAGAAGTTTGCTGACGAGGACAGCATTTTTTATGCACTTGGAGAATGTGGACTCATTTCTTTTTCGGACTACATCTTCCTCACCACAGTCCTTTCCAGTAAGTATGGCAGGGATTTTCCCTGCAATTCCTGGTTTTTGAAGTTCTCAAGGTTCACAAGCAATTKGTTTGCTATTGTTGACATACATTTCCCTAAAAGGCCTTCTTGATTGCCTGCTGAACTCGAGCTGAGCAGTTGCTGTTGCTTCATCTGGTTTAGCCTGAGCTTTGGGAAGACAAGCAGATCAATGGCTTCTGAAGATTTATTTCTCATTTTGAAATGTGACAAATCTTTTTTTAATGAGTCACTTGACCTGCTGTTCAGATCTGGAAAYGGAGACGTGTTCTTGAGCTGTGTTCATGTGATATTCCTGTGTTTGGGTGAGCGTTGATCTCCAGCCTTTCCCTGTTTTCCCGACTGTCCAAACTCTCCTTTTCCARCTGTATTTTCACTTGGGTGAACTGGGGTTTGTGAGTGATGTAATCCAATGAGGAGGGAAGTTAAGCTGTTTACATTTCAACGAGTACCAGTAGATACCTTCTGTCTTTTCACCCTGCTGCACTTGACTTGCATTTGTGATATTTCTGTGATCTGYTAATCTGTTCCAGCGAAGTGTCTGCACTCTGAGTGCCAGCACTGAGAAGTTTGCTTTGCTGGCAAGAACCAGTGAAACTGAAGCCTTTGGTAATGTCAAATGGCATTTCTAGACTTTSTTCACGTGAAAGTCAAGCTCAAAAMCTCATTTGCAGGRCTTCTCTGACTGCTTGGAAGGTGCTGTGTCATAAACAGGAAAWTCAACAGCAGTTTTTCAGTCTCATTTGAAAGTGTGGGGTAATGGGGAATAAGCCACTGTCCAAATGAATTTAAGACATCTTATTTTCAGATTTTAAAAGAGAAAACTTGGCCATCTAATCTTGTAAGTCTCCATTCCATGATGGCCTAATTTGTGGAATTAAGCAACTGGCTGCTTCCCAGTTACCTGCAGAGCCCAGTGCTGCCTGCCCACTGCTGTTCAGGGAGACACTGGGTTAATCACCAGTGTTTTGTCACAGCAACAGGTGCTTTGTTCTCCCCCGTGTTCTTGCATGTTGTAATAGGAGACACGAGAGGCAGCTCTTCATTTACTGAGGATCTATTCCTGGGAAGCAGCAGTGGTCAAGGTCTTGTTTGTTGTCAAAAGGACATGATGGGGGCAGACTTGTGCATGACCTTCATGTTGTGAAAACAAACAGAGAGATAAAGCTGGTTCGAGCCAGGGAATTTGTTTTATTACTTCAATCTGCTCTTTTTGTATTTGACTGAGTCTCAGAGCTGGCTCTTAAGATATTTGCTGTTCGTTTCTTACATTCATCTGGGCTGTGCCAAAATGATCTCAAGGTATTCACTTGTGTRATGAGGGCTTTTCATCTGAGCCTCCACAGATGACAATGAACTCTCAAACCTCTKGTATCACATTGCTGAGTGTGGTTTGGAAAACACTCTTGCCCCTGTTTTTATGGCTGTGCTGGTGGTGAGCAATCCCCTAATCAAGTACACAGGGYGTAAAATTCATTTCATGTGCTTCCACAGGCAGCTGTAAGAGAAATTGTTCTTGCTTTGCTTTAACTTCTTTGTTGTGAGAATAAAAGAAAAGAACCACCTAGTGTTGGAGGTGCAGCCAGCCTTGTTTTGGAGGCTGGGAGGGAGGAGCAGGGTTTTTTCACTCTTGTTCTTGGGCTTTTAAGCATATCCACAATTATGGGGAAGTTAGATTAATGAGGAGACAGAGCTGTGTGGTGTGTGCTTTGGGGAGCCATGAGAATGGTGGGCAAGGCAGGAGCTTTCAAAAAGGAAAATTTTTTGAAAAGGGGGAGAAAAAAAAATCCAGGGCTTTGAGGCTGACTTTTAGGCATTTGGGGAGTTTGCTAAATGTTTACTGAAGATGAAGGAATGTCTCTGGAGCTCCTGTCAAACAGTGATTCCCCAGAGGAAGAGTTTGGGTTTCATTTTTAAAGCATTTGCTTTTGTAAAATGAAACTCCCAACCAAACCTTGCCCTGTGGCTAAATAGAAAACTCACAGTTATACCACACTGGTTTACTCTCTGACTAGTGAACATTTCCTTGCAGGAATCCAGTAGTTCCTGATTGGGTTCTTTTCCCTAGGAAATAAATAAAATAGAATGAGGAAAGTAAATCTTAAAAGTGACAGTTCAATTTTGGTTTTCTCCCTGTGTTGTTTAAACAACCCAAGCATTAAGGAGGTGTCTGGACAAGATGGAACTGTAGGTTACATCAAATAAATAAAACCAAATAAACATTGGGAAAGGAAGGTGGCATTTTGAGCACTAAGGATAATCAGGAGGGGGAGTGGGAGATTCGATCTGGGGTGGGAGACAGGAGGGAGAGCGATGGGGAGAGATCCATTATGGTCTGGTGTGGCTCACTGGATTCCAAACTGATCAATGGCAACCTGGGGAAACAAGAAGCTCTGAGGGCTCTGTCATTGTGCTCAGCTTCCCCAAGCTCTCCAGTTGTCTTTGCAGCTTGACCTGAAGCTCCCTTCAGCTGAGTTCTGTGAAATGGGGAGGGAGAGGGCTGGAGGCTTCATTTCACGTTGCTCACAGGCAGCTGTTTGCACATTGCTCAGAAAATGAGTCTGTCACCGTATCTTATTTACGAGCCATTTCTCACTCCAGCACTGTCTGTTCTCGTTGGCTGCCATGTTTCTGTGAAAATTTATTTTTGAAACAACTGATAAACTAGCTTTTAGCTGCTTCAGAAAGTCARCTTTCTGTTAAAGGCAATGAGAGCTGAGGGGCCTTGAGGAAACTCCATGGTTTTGGTTGCTTCAGCTGCTCTCATGTTTTGGGGCAGAGGTAGAAACATGAGCAAATTCTGATGGAATTTTCCCCTGGATCCTTCAAATGTTATAGGAAAACAAAGAACAAAGAGGTTTCTGCTTTTGGACTTGCAAAACAAGTGGAGGAAGGAGAAAAAAAGCTTTTCCATTTCCAGTGACTGCAGTTTMCAAGCAAATGGGGTCCATTGTCCAGGCACACTAATTCTGCCTTCATTAAYAGGTACTGAAGGGAGCTGGGCATTAAGAGAATAAACTGGAGTTTATTTCCACGGTAGGACTGTTGCTGTGCCTGGATTTAATCCTCCTGGCAGGAGGGTTAAATAACATTGGCTGAAGCCACAGTAATTACCCTTTTGCCAGGGCTCTTGTAGCAGACCTGCAGCTCCTTCTCCCAGCTATCTCTTGCTTAGGATAGATTCACCTCAGGTTTTTTTTTTGTTTGTTTGTTTTTTCGTTTTTTTTTTTCTGTTCTGTGTGTAGGGAATAAATCCCAAACCATCTAACTCTGGGAATTGTGTTCTGGGCAGATATTGAGCTCTGTACATGTCCCTRCAGTGGAGGGACTTGTTCTCCCACACTCCTCACGCAGGGATCCCCAGGGTCTCTTTGGACCATGACTGTTCTGAACATTTATTCCTGGCAGACAGGGAAGTCTTCAGCCCCATTTCTCACCCTGCCACAAGTGAAATCTGTCAACTAACCAGTGATTAGGTTCTGCTGTGCCCTGTGCCACAGGGCTCATTTCCACAAGAAAAGGTTGCTTGGAGTCTATAGGATTATTTTTCTTGTGGTCCTGTTCATGGTAATTTTATCTTCAGTCTTTCAAGATCCTATAGGGCTCATTTCCACAAGAAAACGTTGCTCTCAGTTTATAGGATTATTTTTGTTTGCGGTCCTGTCCGTGCTAATTTTATTTTCCGTCTTTTAAGATCCTCCATGGGTCCATCTCTCACCCACACTTGTCTTCCCACCTTTCTGCCAGCCTGGCCACTTCTGTGTGGTATTTCCAAGATGTACCTGAGCAGCATCATCCAAGGGATATCCCAGGTTCCAAACATAAGCCTGGTTGTTTCCTGGCAGAGTGAGGGCTGTCTGGCTTGGCACCCTGCTTGTGCCATGCCAAAGGACASAAATGGGATGGATTTTTCCCAACTGGCAGTTTGGGATGTTCCCAAGSGATTTGAAAACTGAGATTGGTGCATGGAGGGCTCTGTCAGGCTGCATCCTTCACCTGGTCTTCCTCTGTTCAGCTCTTCATCCCTTGGATTTGTGTGATGTGATGGATCCAGGGATGGGGGCAGCCACCGCCACCATGGCTTCATCACCCTCCCATGGAAAAGTTTCTCCCCAGTATCCCAAGATGATGCAYTTACATTATTTCAGAGTTAATTCTGATTCTTCCTCGTGAAAAAAAAAAATCTGCTTTTCCTTTCCCTTTCCACTAAAACTGATGACCAGCTCAATCTACGTGTTGCAGGCTCAGTTTTCTAGCTGTTACTTACATTTCTAGGTTGATTAACGTTAAAAGAACCCCAACCCAGTATGATTTGGATTCATTTTCTGAAGTGGTGGAATAATTTGAAAGGAAAATGTCTGCAACATTAAGTTTAATAGGTTTTTTCTTATATTTACTGCAGCTAGGGCTCAGCCATCTGTATTCTATGGATAGCCGTGTCTCTGCTTCAGGAGGASTTGTGTTAATTTGGGGTTGATTCAGGGTTCTGTGGCCTTTGCACATCAATTTTCTCAATTTTGGGATAAATGGGAAAGAAGCACCCATAGGTTGTTTAACTCCAAATGATCGATTTTTCCCAGCTGAATTCTTAATCTTTCTTCCCACACTGGAGTTGCTCGGGGAGTTATTAAGCCTTGTGAGTCGTGASCTGCTTTGTGTTTAAATTCTCACCAAAAGATGAGGTATTCCAGTGTTTTCACAGGGGTAGCCAGAAGTTTTTCTTCCTCTAAGTAACATCACCAAAAAATCACCCTGCCTTGGCAAAGAAATTCCCAGCTCCATGCAGAGGGAGCAATGAGTATTCTCCAAAAGTGTGTTAAAACTTCAGTTTTCCTAAAATGCAGTTCCTCTGCAGGAGGTCAGAGGGACAGATGTGCTGAGAGGTGTCACCAAGTGTGGAATGTTGAGTCTTTAGGAGAGAGAAGATCAYAAATGAGCACAAAACCAGGGAAACGTTTCCTTTCTCATCAGCTTTTAATGTCTTTCAGAGTGCATAGCTTCAGCTGAGAGTACAGGGCAGTAAAGAGCAATTGAGTGCTGCAAATTGGCCCATTGAATAATTGAAAATAGTTTAAAATTGCATAATGGGCTTAAAGATGCTTAATCAAGCCAGCTGATCCCTGGGAGCTTCCCGGGGGCTTTACCCTCACCAAGTTTATTTTTTCCATGTGGCCAGTGCTGCTGCTTGTCATTTGTTTGTCTGGTGGAGAACACTCATCTCTCTAATATTCCTGGGTTTCTGGTCTTCTTGCTTTCTTTGTGTCCCCAAATATTTGATTTGGACAAACAAATCAAGAAAAATGTTGATTGCCCTTCGTGCTAACTCCCGGGTTCACTGAAAAAGCAACTTGGCAYGGAGAGCTGGTGGAATTATGGATCTAAAGGAGGAATTATGGATCTGAAGGATCATTTCAACCTGGTCTCTCCATGTATCTCCAAGCTAGGAATTCACTGATAGTGCTKTGGGYTCCAGGACCAYRTTTTTGCTCRTGTTGGTGTAGTGGAAGGTRTCTCTGTCCATGGCAGGTATTAGAAATAGGTGATTCCATAGGTCCCTTCCAAGCTAAACCATTCCATGATTTCATGTTAACTATTTGGARGATCCTCCTGAACATCTAAAGATAGAAATAAAGCTAAAAAAAAAAACCCTGGAGTTGGCCTGACCAGTTTCTGCCTTGTTGCCCAGGGGAAATCAGTCACAATGAAACAATCTTGATTTTTTAATCATGTCAGAAAGGATGGCGAGGAGACAGCTCACACAATCAGAGAGAGCTGGGAATGCAGCAGAGCACTTGGGGGAAATCCAGAGGTGGTTTTCMCTTATCCAGACAGGCATCGTGCCATATTAAAACCAAACAGTCCTTTAAAAKGCTTTGGAAACCACTGCACGAGGAAGATTGGGTTTGTTTGGAGGCAACTTAATTAAGGAGGCAGTGGGGAAATTTAGAGATGCTGCAGTTGGGAATGGTAAAATTAGGGGGCAAAATAAAGGAGGTGAGGAAGGCTCCATTTAACTGGGCAGTGTGGTGTCTGCTGCTTTRTGGTCTGCAAGTTTGAGGGATGGAAGTGCAGGAAGGAAGGGAAATGGAGGYTGTGCAGGCTGAGGTAATGGACAGGGTGGGTACAGTGGGATCGGCCGCCGTCGGGGCGACTCTTCCCACATAAATCCTCATCAGAAGCGTCACAGCCAAGGGTAGAGGCAGAAATCATCTCAGCCAGGCCCCATAAATCCAGCCATGGGCATCAGGGATGTACATCTGTAATGATCATTCCTTCCTGAGCAGGAGTAGGATGAGCTAATTGTCTTGTGTGCCCTCTGGTTCCCCTGGCTCCCGGGGTCACATTGCTTGGATGAAGTGTCATGACAGGTAATTGGAGCTGGATATGYAGATCAAAGGAGGAAACCAGCCATGCCATTTATTAGGTGAAAGAATGAAGTAATTGAATTTGCCAATTTAAAGCCACATCCCTTCCCTGTCYTTAGAAAATACTGAGCCTGCAGATTTTTTGATGCTGAACCGCGCATTTTAATTTTGGAAGTGTTGTTCTCCTCTGGGGCTTTGATATGCTGCTCCTGGAAATGTGTATTTAGAGATGGAAAAGGAGAGAAATGCTCTTTGTGGGGGCTAAGTGAAGTATTTTACTCTCTGTTCATAYGTGTCTGCACAAATGGGATGTGGCATTGTATATTCCCTTAAAAAAGAGGGGAAAATAACCCCAAATGGTGATGACAGTTTTTCACAGGGAGTAACAAATTTTCCAATCTTCAAATAAATGTCAGTATACCCTGGTAGAGAAAATGGGGTAAGAAAGATGAGGCGATTGCTCTTTTTCTAGAGCCTTGTAACTAGAGGAGAGTTTTGTCTGTTCCTTCTCTTCCTCTTTCTATGCCGTTCCAGATTTTGGTACTAATAAGAAGAAATTGCTTCCAGGCTTTTGTGAAGTTGTTGCAATTAAAGTGAATAAAATTGCAGGTGTTAGTGAAATATTAAGGGGKTAGTTGGAAGCTTGCTGCTTTTCAAGAAAACGGGGAATTGAATGAATACACAGGAGGTTTAATCCCTTAAATCAGACGGATCATTGGAAAGATTATGAAGGCGGTGCTGGGGACTGAGTGTCCCCAGGTCAATTAACACCGAGTTAACGAGGGACAGCATGAAGGTCTCCATGCTGTGTGGAGGCAGGGCAGGGATGTGGGTGGCAGGGGGGATGACCCACCACGTGCTCCTGTGTCACACGAGAACCTGCTCCTGCACGAGGTGTCTGGAATGCCAAACGCAAATAATTGGCAGGGGGAGATTGGCAATGCAGGGATGATAACGTGTGCTCTGTGTATCAAGCTGTCCCTGCCATCAGCTCCAACGCCCTTATTCAGCTATTTTGGGCCCAGAGTGTTTGGGAAAAGGGGTCTCATTAACCTCTCTTTTCCTGATTAAGTGCTGCTGGTTATCACAGCAAGGGGAAAACACGATGTGAAAGTTTTGAACTGGAGCCGAAATTAACATCCAAAATCCAGTTCAGTTAATTCTATATTCATTTCCCTTTGTCTCCCCACTCCCACCTTCCCACAAATGCTCATTATTTTTGGAGCATCCACAAGAAATACTAAAARTTGATGGCACAGATGAGCTTAAAGAGGGTTGAACCTCACCAGTGATTTGCATAAAATTTGGCTGGGAAATGAAAAAAGGAGCTAAGTTTTAACTGATCATTTAAGATGTCAACTTTAGCATTAGCTATAGCCTAGAGGATTCCCTAGAAATCCCAGTGAACACCACAATTCCCGTAGGAGGTGTGTATTTGAAAGTAGCAGAGYGTGATAAATCCTCATGTATTAACTTAATTTGGGAAAAAATTGTAGCTTCAAACGATGATAGGTTACAGAGCCCAAAATGGAAATGTACTGAAATTCCATGGTGGGATGCTGGGAAGTGATGCTTCTGCAGGGTTCTGACTAAACAAACCGTGACAGCACAGACCAAATGCAATGAAAAATAAGATATGGTGACATCTCAGCTCGTGAGCTCCAGCCCACTCCTTATCTCAGTGTCATGACTGGGCTGAGACAGGGTGGTCATGATTTGTTTAAATTTATATGGTGAAACAAGAGCTGAGAATTGCCCAAATTCCAGGTCTGCTCCTCATCCACAGGGAGCACAATGCCTGAGGAACATCCTCTGGCCAAACTGGTGTTTGACTGTATTGGACAGTCTGGAGCTCTTGCTGCAGCATAATTTTCTGTTAATTGTAATTAGAGATATCAGATAGCATAATTTTCTGTTAATTCTCATTAGAAATAGATGGCATCTTGCTTTTCAGCTTTTTCCACCTGTAAGTGGAATAAATGTTCTAGAAACCCCTTCTCCTCCCACCTCCTTGTCAAGACCTTTGGTAAAAGGAGCACCATGAAGATCATAGAGGTTCCTAAGAGCTGCATTTTCTTACTAAAATTGCAAGAATTAGGCAAAATTGCATTTGGATTCAGAACTTGGGCCTTTTTAAAACTTTTTATATCTTTTGTATATGTTAAAACTTCTTGTATCTTTTAAAGCTTTTTGTATCTTTGTTAACTGCTTTTTGTGTTTTGCTGTTGTTTTTTTTATGTAGCTCCCCAGAGGAATTTTGAAATTGCCTTTAAGATGTTTGATCTGAACGGTGACGGCGAGGTGGACATGGAAGAGTTTGAGCAGGCAAGTTGAACAATCAATGCTGTGGCATCTTAGCACAGCATTCCTGTGTGACTTTACTGCCTTTTCTGTTTGTGGTTAGTGCTGGTTTATACTTYTTCTTTTCTGTGCTCTGCTGTGTTGCCTTAGTGCCTGCTGTTTGTTTCTTTAAACAGAAACTGAATTTAGACAGAATTTTTCTTTCAGTGAGGACAATCATCAGTACAAACTCAGGTTTCCTGTGACTTTGTCACCAGGAGYCAAGGCCAGGCTGGACAGGGCTCTGAGCACCCTGGGRTAGTGGAAGGTGTCCCTRCCACAGCAGGGGTGGAACTGGATGAGCTTTAGGGTCCCTCCCAACCCATTCTGGGATTATTCTCTTAACATTTCCTTAAAAAATGTCACCTTCAAAGTAGACAAAGTTTATTTTCACTCTRCTGATATTGTGGGATTTTGATCCTACTTCCTTCACAGCTTCTACTGCTTTCCTTAATTTTATTTGTCTTCAGAGAGTAGCCAAGGTGAGTCTGCTTCAGAAGAGAATTTATCCGCTTACTCCCGTGTAATCCAAAAATGTTTTATTGAGAACATATTTTCATTAGTCTTCTACTTCCTACAAGGCTTCATCAACAGGGACTTTGGTGCAGGTTTTTTAATGAGTTTAACCTTCRTGTCTGGTACTGGTGAGCTCCTCCTAGAGTCTGTGATTTATGGTTGTGTCCAAGTGAGAATAGATTGAAGTCTTGAGCTGTCAGKGGGGAAGAGATTTGCCCTCCCCAGGCAGAAGAGTGTGATTTTTCTTGCCTMTTTCTAGCCTTAAGATTTTGGGAATTTATAGACATCGTGAAATCGCATCYCCAATCACCTGTATGTGCTGTTCATGAAAGGAAAATTTAAATGCATTTACAAAGTGATACCCAGGAACAAAGCAGCCCTGGAGAGCTCAGGGACAGATCCTTACTCATCAGTTGGCTCAATGAGTAACTGCAGAGGAGTCTGCAAGGTCGTGCTTGGGGCACTTGCTATAAATGGGAGGAACGAGTGGCAAAGGAGTTCTGTTGAATTGCCCTCCCCTTCTAATCTTTTGCTGTCATCCTCCTTAAATTATTACCTGTGGCTATGATGCCATCATCACGAGCTCGCTCCAGAGCCATGTCTGGGTAAGTGTAAGGCTTTAAATCCTCACTTTGGACTATGAGGAGGCTGGAGTATGTTTAGCTGCAGTCTGATATCCCTTCACTTGGCAGTTTGAAATGTAAACCTGGGGCTTGGTTCATTTTCCTTCCTTTCCCCAAGTAAAAACCACTGTTATATCTTAATAGTGCACGGAGCCAGCACTCCACTGCAGCTGTGTGATCATACTGAACAGTCCAAAAGGTGATTTATGGTAGTTGTAATGTTCTAGAATGAAATCAATTATGGAGATAGATGAATTTAAGAAAAGCGGAGAACGATTAAATKCTAAAAATGCAGTGGTGCCAAGGTGCTAACACAGATGTCACATTTGGTTTTTTTATTAGAGCTGTGTAAAGTGAAAAGGAACATTTCTACAGGATGAATGTTTCCTAGTCACTATGAAGATGAAGGTACAAAAGTGAATTAAATTATTTCAAATCATCCATCAGGCCTGGGGAAGTTATACATGCATTAAGTCACRTAAAAATCCTTAGGAATGGGAAGGTATTTTTGTTAAGCTGGTTACATGTGTCACTGCCTGTATAGGAAGGAATAAAGTTCCTGATTAGCATCAGAATATTTGGGTGAAGGCTGATCTTCCAGAGCTTGAGAGTCAGAGGAAGAAGGAGCTGTTTTGGAAAGTGAGTAAATATCTGTGAAGATATTGATTTGCTGCAACAACTAACACCCAGCTTCAGTGGGAGGCACATAGATCCCATTATGCACATGTATATCATTACAAACAATTGTTTATAGGATAAATCCTCTTTTTCACTCCTTATGGAAATATGTCAGGAAGAGCATGAAGGGTTTGCAGTTCTGTGCTGTGAATCTCACCTGACAGGAGCAGTTGGAACTGGCTCTTTCAGGGGATTATGCAGCAGTTTAAAGGTGCAACATCATTTTGGGGAGAATGGGAAAAAGAAGGGCAAGAAAAGGATCATCAAAAAAGTATAATTCCATCCCTGCTGGCTGAGAGCATGTGGCAATGAATTTCCTACTCCTCCCTCACACATTGTCTTTGGAGACAACCAAAAGCAGGTCCCTCTTYTCACTGATGTTTGAAAACTTCCTCAGGAAAGAAAATTACTTCAGTAATTTAGCTAATRTGTGACTAAGTTTGAGGCTTTAACCACCTAATAAAAACATTCTGACTTTCTTCAGGCCTTGCTGAATAGCTTCAGGTTTTTTATCCAGTTGATGCATGTGGCTAGTGTTTAGTCGTGAATAATGTGGTGTCTACATCAGTATTGTCTTCAACTCATCATCCTTTGGCATCTAAATTGTTGGTTTGCTCCTCTATTTTAATTAACAAGCTGGCTGAAAAATAGTGAACTCCAGGCAGTATGGCTGTGCAATCATCAGTAYRGCAKGGTTTTGGAACTAAATAGTCTTTAARGTAATTTCCARCCTGAATCATTCTGAGATTCTCTARGTTCAGCCAAATTTTTTAGTTGTCATGTCTTTTAAGAATTACTTTAGGAAAATAAAATTTAAAAAGAATGACACAGCTGAATTTGGAGCACTTCATACTGGTGCTTGACCAGTCTGATTTTGATTGTAACATGTTCCCTGTGGTTTTTAGGTGCAGAGCATCATTCGTTCCCAAACCAGCATGGGCATGCGCCACCGCGACCGCTCCACCACCGGCAACACCCTCAAGACTGGCTTCAACTCRGCCCTCACCACCTACTTCTTTGGGGCTGACCTGAAGGGCAAGCTCACCATCTCCCATTTCCTGGACTTCCAGCGCAAGCTGCAGCACGACATCCTGAAGCTTGAGGTTTGGAGTGGTTTTTTTGGACAGGGGAGGGCAGTGCAGCATGGATTGTGCTGCAGAATGGGGCTTCTGGAGGAGGAGCAAGATCCTGAGAAGGGTGCAGAGGGAATTTCTACAGCTGTGGCTAGCAGCACTCGCAGATTCAACCTGGTTTTAAATTCCTGATGGGCATTTCAGTGCCTGTGGCACTCCCCAAGGAACATCTCCACTCTTGTGGAGTTGGAGTAGCAGCTRGCATATCCCAGGTGTGTGTCCCTCCACGTGGTACTCACCTGGCTGTTGCCTTAGCTGTTCCTTGGCTGATTGGGATGATTGAGGTGATTTAGGGAAAAAATGACAGCGATTATGAGTGGCCTGTTGTGACCTTGCAGAGGAAGGTTTGTCTCAGTCCTACTCCGTGAGCTGTGCCCTAAAGACCCAGGATTTATAGCACCCCCAAAACTCTTCACCTCTGTTTTTGTCCCCACCTTTTCAGTTTGCTTCATTATTCTGAGTCTTTTAGCTGGGTAAGTGTTCAACTTTGTTTGCATCCTTCTAAATAGGTGGGATCTGTTATGTGACCTCTGTTGTTCCCTCCTGGATTGATGTGTTTTAAAAGAAATGTTGTCCATCTCTTCTGAATTTAGTTTCCTTTTCAATTTGCATTGCCCCGAGTTTTAACAGCAAATCACGACCTCTTGTTCCTATTCACATAATCTGAATTTTAGAATTACCCTTCAAAATTTGGTTCTTTTGTGTAAAATGAGTTCAAGAACAGCAGCAGGRGACTTGTTGGTCTGTCTCAGCTCCCAAGTGGAGCTGATGCAGTTGGAAATGGTGCCCATCACTGCATCAGGCTCCAAGGTTTAGACTGCCTTGAGCAAAGCCAGGCTTTTATTTGCATTGGAAATCARGATTTGATTTGCACCCAACAACCTACTGAGACAACACTATTCAGAGCTCTCTGTCACCTCAGTCTGGTGTATTATTGCTCACATGCTCACGTTGTGTGATCAGTGTTTTATTAAGTTCTTATCAAGTCAGTCGTTGYGATTTCAGACTGTTTTTATTCCCTTTTTTCTTTGGCGTTTACAAATGCAAGTAAGAAACTGACCCAAGGGCTGATTGTTTTATTTTGGTGAAGGTAATTGYCCAGTTCACTGCCTTCATTTCATGGTCATTACAGCAGGTGGTGTGGCTCTGCCTTTGCAGGGGGAATAGGCTGCTTGAAGACAATGTTCTCTGTGAACTGGGTCAGTTCCTCAGTGCCTCTGCAAATTGAAAYGAATAAAATACTTTTTTTCAGGGGAAGAAACATGAACTGCCACTTGAATGTAAAGGGAAGAGAAATAGAGATTRTTCTATCCCCTGTTTTTCCACTGCTATGTTCACTCCAGGGGTGGGCACTGAAGTATTCCTGACCCTGAGTTCCCTCCGTGGGTCCCACTTCCCTCATTAAGATTTTTTTTCCATTTCATGGTACTTATTCTTCTTCTCCTCTTGTGACAATTTAGTTTTTAATGATTTCAGTCAATTGTATGTCTTCCTGGCTAATAGCAGTTGCTTTTCTAACAGGTTAGTTATTAACTGGGGACAATAAAAGATATTTATGTCTCAGTAAGTTATTGAATATCATAAAGGCATTGTTCTGAATCCCTGCCAGCAGCTTTGAGCACAGCACCAGGCTGTGCTTGGCATTCCTGATACTCATTTCCACTGAAGCATTGATGGTTCTGTTCTGCCAAACTCAACTTTTCCCTGAGTTCATGCTACTAAAGCCCTGATTTTCCTGTTCATGGCTCTTATGGATTTAGGCAAAACAGGCCTATTTCTGTCCTCAGTATTATGCAACGTGGCTTCTCTTCAGCTTTCATCTCTTTTGATGTGATCTCCCATCTTTTCCCCTTGCTTTACATTTGATGTGTTTGTTCACAGTTAAGGAGCTTTTCACACAAATGTCTGGTGGGTTTGTGTTGTTCCTTTCCCAGCGAGTGCCCTCATGAACTCAGCTGCTTGAAAACCATGGAAATTCAGAGATGAGATGTCTCTTGAGAAGRGAAGGTTTTACCCTGACCCTCAAAAACCAGGAAAATGTGAGAAGCAGTGCACAGCTGAACTCTTGTACCCTCATCTGCTCATCCTTTGCTGGCTCAGTAAAACTGGAGCGTGGTCTGAAGCTGGGATGCTGATTTGAAACCCAGTTTTTGTTTGTGTTCAGAACTCCAGGGAAGCCCTGGGGAATTGCAAGTCTGAAGACTCTCCTGGGGCTGCTGCAGTCCCTGARCGACCTGGAACCTCTGTTCTCAAACTGGGATGTAGGCTTTGTCTCTTCCAAAAGAAATCTACTTTAAGAAAGACTTTTTTTTTAAAGCTGTTTTCCCTTTTTAAAGCTGATTCCCTTCAGGATCCAGACATTTCTGCAGTTCATACACTTGAGAGCTCTTTTCTGCTGACTGAAGGTGGAACAATAGTTTCTGACCATCTGAAYCCACTTTATCTTTCCTCTTACTCATTTTGGTTTGGTTTTTTTTWAATCAAAATATCYRTGCATATTTTTTGCTAAGATTCAGCAGAAATACTCACARAGGAATTAAATCAGACAAAGCCCTGAATATTTCAATGTTCCTTATGGCTGAAGTGCTGACAGCAGGTTTAAGTAACCGTGGCTTGGTGTTTTTTTCTTCTCTTCTGCTTATTTTTTTTTTTTTTTTTTTTAAGTGTGTTTTCCATCACTTTATGGAAACTCAGCAGCCCNTTTTTTTTTTTTTTTTATGAAAGTGTGTTTTCCATCACTTTATGGAAACTCAGCAGCCCACGCAGTTGAAGGAAGGGAAAAATGAGGAAAGTAACCACAGCCAGAGGTAGAGGAAATCTTTTAATGCCTTGTTACAGCTTTCTGTGGTTTGGCTAGTTGGAGGAAGCAGTGGCTGCTTTTTTGGTTATGGGGTGGCCCTGCTTAGCTAAAGCTGAGCCACAGGAACCAGCCCAGCAAATGGGACTCCTGGCAAGGTACTCCACTTTTCCTTTTTGCATTCCCACTGCCTTGCCCTCATGCCTGTAGCCAGAATTCCTTTCTTCTTGAGGCTCTGCAGCTCTGGGAGGTGGTGTTGGGTTCTTTCTTTTTATTTTTGAGTGGAAGATCTCTGTGAGTCTGGAAGATGAATAGGACTTGAYATCATTGTTTATGCTGTTTCTGCTCCTTAGTGCCTGTCCCAGATATTCCTGTGTCCTTGCTGGACCAAAAGGAGTTCCAGCCAGCCTGTGGGGCTCTTCCAGCCTCAATTTTTTTTAGGATTCTGGAAGTGTATGTAGACGAGCTGTGTGAGTTCTTTGTTCTCCAAGTCTTTGTCATCCCTCTAAGGCAACCCCAAACCTGCTGATAGCACTGATTTCATCTCCGTATTTTGTTGTCTTACCCAAGAAAAWGGTCTTCCAAGCAAAATAAAATGGTATTTTGTAAGAATATAGTTAAGGTACAACATGTCATTGCTGTCATCTGGAAAATCCCTTATTTTCTGTGTCCTGTGAGAGTTGATGTGGGAGTAACTTCTTTGGATAATTTTGGAAATTCCTGTTGTCATGGCCAATGCCAATAGAGTTGGTGGCAGGTTTGATTTTTATAAAGAGGGGGTGATGGATGCTCTTCCACCCACCTTATTAGGAAGTCCTGGGATCTCACAAGGCATTTCTAATGCTGCTCAGTTGGGTTTTAGGGCAATAAATTTAGTCTGTAAGTGTCTTTCTCTTCTGAGTCCCAGCGCTGGGATAATTGGTATCCAARTAATCCTGCACCAGGTATTAAAAACGGTTCTCTTGTTATCAGCTTACTCAAGGATTTTTGGGATTCTGCCTTATTTTTTATATGGGCTGGCAGAGCAATGCAGGTTTTCAATGATTTGTTAACACAGGCAACAAAGTTTGCAGTAATGAGTCACATCTTTGTTYCTGCTGCAGTCATTTAGGGGAAAAATGAGTAACTTAAATGAATTGTTTTGRGTAGCCTGAAAAATGAAGTTTGACAGTGTCAGATTGGCTGTGCTTTGTAAGGAAGGACCCAAAACTCGGACTTTTTGGAGGTCAAGTTGCTATAGAATTTCTGCAAGACATTTTTAATTTATTTTAAGTCACCTTTATGACAGTCTCTGTCATACTCAGCAGTCAGGGATGGACAAAGCCATGATGGATTTAGTGCTAATGAGTGGGGAGTTATCAGGAAACCCTGCAGACCTTTGTATTCCTTCTTCTGCATTTTATGTGGTGGAGGTTTGGAGAACAGAAATAAGGCTGGTGTCCCTTCCTTTGATGGATAGCCATGCAAGTGTGGCAGGTGACAGAATTTTGTGCCATCTCCAGCTAAAAATGGGCTCCTCTGACCACTGTGGATAATTTAACCTCAGGGAACTCAGTAGTTATGGCACAGTCCAGCATGCACATCTGTAATCTGGGAATTTCTAGGCAGGCAGTGAAGTGATTGGGATAGCTCAYCCTGTTTTTGATGGCATTCAGAGCTGGCAGCCTGCCTTTGCCTTGGCATGGGAGTGGAAATGGTCCCGTGAAGCTTTCAGRTTGACTGCACTCTCTCRGGGTTTGGGGAAAAGCTGGCATTCKGTTCTTGTCCAGTGTYAGCCAAAGACTTGAGAAGAATTCAGAGTGGAACGTTAGGATGGAAAAAAAAATCTGAGAATAGGGATAAGTTATGAGGCCATGGCATGTGCAGCTTACAGGAGAGACAGAAGGGAGATATAACTGTCTCAGTAAACACGGGGAGTCACCATAAAGGAGTCTGAGGCAAGTCATTTTCATCAATCAGGAACAGCAGAGCACGTAATGAAATGCCTAAGYGTGCACCAGGGAAAGTTTAGTTGAAATCCAAGGCAGGCTGCATTCCAGTCCCTTTTTCCCTTTTTCCATTAAGCAGGGGGAATGCTGGTGGGTGAGGGTTTCACTGTCACGGCTGAGTTACTGAAAGCTGGGCTTTTTGCCTCAGTCAGAGGATGCCATAAATAGTTGGATGTTTCTAGCTA